ATGTACATCACCAGCCTGGCAAGGGCCTCAAGATCGGCGGCCTCGCTGCCAGGGCCAAAATCCTTCTTGGAGCACCCGGAGGACCCAGTGGTGAGCAGCTCGCTGCCCAAAGCCAAGGAATGCTCATCCTTCTGGATCACGGAGGAGGGGCAGCTTTGGATGGAGGAAAACTCCTTGACAGCAATCTCCTTCGACCAGTGCCGCCTGGGCCAGCTGGTCAAGAAGGCCACCACACTTGCCACGGATCTCCCAATCCAGGACTGGGATCAAATGCGGTGCACACATCAGTCACATGTGGGCACCAGCGAGTCCTCGACTCTCAGCAGATACCCCTGGGATATGATGGCAGGCCTGGCCAAAGCCATCGCTGTGTCACTCGCAGCGCCGGGGCACATCCGGATCCCCTCACAATTCCCGGGAAACCCTAAGGAACCACCTAAGGGAAGGGGGTCGGACCCCCCTGGGGGCCCTTCTCCCCGGGGGAAACGGGGACCCAATCAGGGAGGCGGTCCCTCCTCGTCACACCAGGGCCCAGAGCCCGGAGGCAAGAATGCCCCGAAGCCCCGCCAGCACGGGCACATCCACCATGAGGCTGACACCGTAAGCCCTCGTGGAACTATGAGTCCAGACTTCCCATCTCCCATGCCCCCGATGGCCGGAGATGCGGAACAACTGGAAAAGGAAGAACATGGGGACCAGGTCCTGGACCGCCCCGAATGCCTGCCCGCTTTCCGGGTCCCACGCCTCACTGACCGAGTTGCGATTGTCCAATTGGGTTTCCGTTCACGCCCCCTGAGAGATGGGGGGGGGAAACCTTCCCCGGGGAGGCTCAACCCCCCTTTTCGGAGAGTTTCCCCTTTGGCTACTTTGGGCGCCCTGATCATGACCCTTACCAGGCCCTGGATTGATAAGGTCCGGATGTCCCTGGCATCAGGTGCCACCACACACCCCTTCCAGGAAACCGACCTCGAGGAGCTGCGGGCTATCCTAGGACCGAGGCACCTCCATGAACGATGCCCAGGACAACCCTTCCTCCTGGACTTAGTGTCGCACTTGGCATCCCTTTCAGGTGACCCTGATTGGGAGTTCCCCCTGACACTGAAAGAGGGGGTCCCCTTGGGAGTCTCGGACCCTACCTTGACCTCCCCGGGAGTTTGGCCCACTAAGGAGGAGCTTAAGGGAGAAGCATGGCTGGGGGAAGATCCCCCCCCGCCAGTGGCTCATGATAACTACCCAACGGCTGAACTCTTTGCCAAGGAAATCGAATCAACCTTTTACGAGGAACGAGCCTTGGACATGGTGGACGGGCCCTTCACTCGCTCCGAGGCGGCAGAGAGGTGCCGCTGCAAACCGGAGGAACTTTGCCCGGGCCCCCTTGCAGGGATTGATGAGTCGGACAAGATCAGGACGATCTATGATGGCTCAAAAGGGGGAGCAAACGCACACATCCAGGCTCACACGGAGGAGAAGACCACCGCACCGATGGTTGGAGACTGCCTCCATGCCATCCACTGGCTCAGGACAGCGGCGGACCATCCTCATCTACTCCGAGCCCCATCCTCGGGCACTGATGAGGAACCTCGGGATGTTCACCAGCCGGTGCAGGGGCAGTCCCCAGGTGCCGAGGGCCCTGAGAGGGACCCCCACAGCACCAGCCTGCCCCCAGGTGCCGAGGGCCCTGATAGGGGCAGGCGGATGATGGAGACCTCCGGCGGCCTGGACGTCTCTCCGCGGTCAACACCCTCAGGGAAGGGGCCACTCCCAGGTGCCGAGGGCCCTGATAGGAGGGCCCCATTCCCCCCAACCCCCCCAGGCACGGAACGCCCTGGGGGGAGCAGGGGGGAACCCCTGACGTGGCAGCCGCCGACACAGGGGGAAACCTTCATCATCCTCAAGGCGGATGTCACCAAGGCCCACAGGCGCATAAAAGTGCTCCAGAAAGACTGGAAATACCAGGTGGCCTGCATCCAGAACCGGTGGTGGGTCAATAGAGTGGGCACGTACGGCATGGCCTCGGCACAACTGTACTGGGGAAGAAAGGCATCCTTGGTGCTCAGACTCTTGTACTACATCTTCCCTCAGGTGGACTGGCACTTAGTTTTTGTGGACGACTACTGCTGGGTCCTCAGATGCAGCAGGGCGGACTGGGACGCCACAGCCATCCTGGCCACTCTTCTGGCGCTGGGAGTCCCGCTTTCTTGGAAGAAGACGGCGCTCTCCCCGGTCAATACCTGGTTGGGATTCGTGGTGGACCCAATCACGCCCTGTGTGCTGCTGGCTCCAGTCAAGCACGTCATAATCCTGGCCACTCTCAAACGGCTGGCCCAGGGGGACATCTTTACCAGCAAGGAGGTGGAACAAGCCCTGGGCCGGATTCAATGGGCTACTTCGGCGTGTCCATTGACGAAACCTTTCCTCCAGCCCTTTTGGAGCTGGAAGAAGGCCTGCACCACTTCGGGCAGGCCACCGAAGCTGGTTCGTGCTCTGGCCATCCTTCTGGGGAAGCTCTTCAACCAGAGGTTCCCACTGGCATCTCCATTTGCTCCCACACTTCCATGGACGGGGGCATCTGATGCGGGAGCTGGCAAACAGGCGGACCATGCATGGGTTGGTGGTTGGTGCTCGGACGTGCCCAACCCCGACAAGTCCCGAGTGAAGTGGTTCCAACACAGAATCACACCGGAGGGCGAGCCGTGGGCCTTCACTACTGGGGACCCGCAGCGGGCGATAGCGGCCTTGGAGCTCTTCGGCCTCCTCCTTTTGGTGAGGGCTGTTCTGCTTTGTGCAGCCGGCTCGGCTTCTCACACTAGGATTCTGGTTGCTAGTGATAACCAGGGAAACGTTTTCTCCCTGCTTAACGATTCCACTCGCAGGATGCCCAATGCGGCCATCCTCATGGAAATTGTGTTAACACTGCATGACCACCAGGTCATGTTAGGACCGTCGCATGTGAAGCGCGACTTTAACACATGGGCGGATGAACTTACTCATCCGGACCCGCAATTTCCGACTGAGAACCGGGTCTTCCCCTCAGTCGAAAGCGAATTGATCAAGCTGATCTTCGCTACTTTCCTTCCTCACCCATGATGCCGGGAGGGCATCCGGTGAGGTGGGAGGATTCCTCCCTCGCTGTGGGAGTGGCATCAATCCTACTCCCATCAGCTGCTGAGGGGAGCTGCCCAGTGGAACTGGGCAATCCTCCCATTTTGGCACTAACCCTTATGCGGCAATAAAGGAGGCACCGTTTTGCGAATAAGGCCTCAGTAGCACCTGAGTGGTGCTTCAAAGAGTCTCACCAACTTTTTTGGTTGGGAGGGTTCCCCTACTAAAATAGACAAAAAGAAAAAAGGGTACCCTTTTTCTAACCTCTCTACTGGAGGACCTATTTTTACTGTTTTGTGGTAGTTTCCATTTAGCCCACTAAAAGTCAGGGCAGCCCAGATACGTGGCTCATCGTTCTTGGAGGCGGCCCATGTTGGAAGCTGGTCTAAAGGGAAACCAAAGGTAAACCACCTTTGGGATTTTGCATCCATGATTTCGAAGCAACTCCATACAGGTGCCTGTTTTTGAGGGTACCCTTTAGCTTGGTTCAAAAGGGACAAGGCAAGCCACGTTTCTTTTTTTGTGAGGGGGGGAGGGGGAAGGTTCATACCCGATGTACCCACACACCCAGTGGGTTGCTTCCATTTTTGTGTATTTTTGTGCAGGGGTTCCATGAAGTACCAACACAAGGTGGCTGTTTTGCTGTGGACGCCGGGCTTCCGAGAAGAGGCTCCGTCAGATCTACTGGCAGTCTATGGTTCATTTGGGAGGGACATAGGGGCGTGAACCCCAAATGAACTCTAATTTTCTACAAATGTTCCTATCTAGGGAAGCAAGTAATTTTGGCCGCGGCTTGTGTGCGTGTGTGTGTGTGTGTGATTATTTTTGATATTCACATTGGGTGGCTTGAAAGGGGACCCAAGCGAACAGTGGGTTCGCCTATTTTCAGACTCACCCATCTGAGTTTGTTCGGGTGGTTCAAAATGGAGATGCCTTTCTTTTTGAATCCTGTAGCGACGGGTCCAAAATCGGAACTCCTTTCTGCTTGCACAACATGTGGTTTGCTTGCGGTGACTCTTTTTGGTTACAAGGTTTCTGACGGGCACCAACGGAGTCTCTGTACTGTGGACAAGTTGGGATGGATAAAACACGAATTAGCTACTGGAGTAAGCCATCCACCAGCCAGTGCCAAATGGATTTTGTAGGGAAAAGCAGGACGTGCGAGAATTTGAATGTGGGATCGATCCAGCTTTAGAGTAGTTTTCTCTTGGCTCTCTTTTGTGGTTGTTTTCTCAAACAAGTTGGCATCAACAAAAGACACGCACACGCACAAAAGTCACACCTGCAAATGAAGCCCACTTTAAAGTTTCCTGCCATTAAGACGACTAAATTTATCGAACTTCAACGAGACTCCTAAAGCAGTAGATGTTTGCTGGTTCCTTGAACAGACCCCCCTCAAAACGGGTGAATCTGAAATCCAAGGGTGATGTTGAGAAGCCAACGTCAACCTTTAATGAACCATCTTTTATGTAGGCAGTAGTTGATGTTTACCCCAGGAAGCAACTGCGGCTTCGGGTTTTGGGCGTCCCCATGTTTATTGTTTATGTTTGCAAAGGGCAGCCTCACTCGCCGCTATGGGTTCGTCCTTTTTGGGATTTTCAACATAGATGGTTTTCCTTTAAAATTCCCCAATTCACAAAAACAGAATCAGGTAATGTTAACCCCAGATTAATAAACCCCTGGTTGATTAATAGGGGGGTGTCCCCTTTTAGTGGGGATTCATCACTTTTGGAGGGAACAGCCCGTAATAATGGGACGGGTTCTACTTAGATCCTGGGTCAACATTACTGTACCAAGTAATTAGGTTGTGTTCCTTTAATTTCCCAATAAAAACACACCCGGGCAGCCTCCCAAGCCATTCAGAAGCCATACATCCGTAGCCCCTGCATTGGGCTCAGGCCAGCAAGGACTCCATCCGCGGCCTGCTCTTCCAGCACTGGAAGGACGCGGAGCAACGTTTGGGGGAAAGTAGATGGGTGCGGCTCAAGAACACGGGCCCGAAATGAAACATAAAGGAACCGTGGTGAATGGAGAAGTCGACCAAAGCCTGTGGCTCCCTGGAAAAGTTCAAAGTTAAGTTTTGAGGCAGGATTCTCCTCAAAAGTACGGTGAATTGTTGAGAAATCCGTTCGCAGCGCCTAAGACACTCTGGTTTCTGATGATTCTCGTGTGAAAATGCAAGCCTTGTAATGATAAGCCGTGCTGTTGAATGTAACCGGCGAATCGCAATGCCAACCAACCGACACGGCCGACACGGCCGACCTTCTCTTCTCTAGGTTTGCCGGCCATGGGTATTGGGGAGCCAGGGTGATGATAATTTGTCGGAATTTCAGAGCCATGCTTTTGGTTGTTTCTGTACGCCGAATCCGAACCGTACCCGTACCAAAAAAGCAGCAGTATTTTTGGTACAGGTCTGGGGTACCGGGGGTAACCTGTACCGCACCAGTACCCTACCCGTACGTACCCCTTGCAGAGGCCCACCGAAGTATTGCCGCAAAAACCACCACTTGGGCAGGCTGCTTGTCTGTAGCGCTCAGTGCCAAGCAACAGCTGGTTTTTTTCAACTTTCGGAGACAACAAGGGGATGTATCATATGGGTATGTGTCAAAGCTAGGGAGACTTCTCCAAAGAGTTTAGGTTGGGTTCCCTTTAAACATGCTCAAAAGGATCTCCTACTTTTGGCCACGTTTGGGTGCGCATCAGATTCTACAACATGTTGTTTCCTTGCTGTCCCCTTTAAATACCAACCACAAAGGGGCTCACCATTTGAAGACACCTCCGTAAGAAAGGAAACGGCCGCAAAACACCCAACTTGGGGTTGAAATCCCCTCTTGCAGGAGCCAGGTATAAGGGAAGGGATGATTCTCCCCCAATTTCGTGGGGAGCCAGGGAGCCACCAAGACTCAGAAAATGGCTTGGGCTCCAGAGCCTTGGTTCCCAGGCCCCAACTCCGACTGTCCTCTTGGCTTGGTCTCAAAATACATGTTGCACCCTCCCCCCCCCAACGCTCCCCTGCCCCCCCCGAAGACCAAAAGAGAAACAAGTGGTGATCTTGACAGCCCACTACCAACGTCAATTGCACTGTCAGACCCCAAACCTTGCAGCACCAGCATCAAACAACTGCACATTGCCCTGTCAAAGCACATGCCCCTGATGAGACAATGTGCATGGGACAGCGTCTTAGTTTCCTTTGGTTTCCTTTTGGTTTCCCTGGGCGGGACCCCCCCAAACAACCGCCAAAAATAACCGACGTTTCCTGGATCCTTGGCGGGAGGGGGAGCTCGGAGTTCGGTCTTTGGGAGGACTGCGGGCTCAGCCAGCAGCCTACCACCATGGAGCCGCGCCCTCGGTGTTTTGATCGCTTGGATATGGCTGTGGCTCAAAAAACCGGTACTAAGCTGGAACGGGTCCCTCCTGTCTAATTTTGAGCCACAACCATATGGGTGTGTCTCTTGAGGGTACCCTTCTCGGGTTGCTTAGAGAATCCAAACTTGACTGCTATTGGGTTGGATCTTTAGACTTTGACTTTTGGTTGAAATCAAGGTGTTTTCCACTAAACCCCCAAAAAGTTAAACTTTTTGCAGGGGGGTCAAAGGCAACCAAGCAAAAGGAAGCTTCAAGTTTCGAAGCGTTTCCCGATTTTGATGGGGTGCTTGGGGGCCAGGTCCTGCCGGGATTCCGCGCAGTTTTCTTGAACGGCAATACACATGCGTATGTGATTTCCTTGTCTTTTCTCCCTTTTGATTCACCCCAAAAGGGTTTCCTCTCCAAACACGCATGGCAGAAACCCGAAACTTCGGTAAGTCGGTTTCCGCACGGAGAAACGCCCCGAGCACCGCCCAGCAACGGCGTCCACTTCTCCGCCGGAGCGCTGGAGGGCATGCGCGAGCGCATGTTGCCGGGGCGCCCAACGCGCCCATGTTTTGGGTTTGGGACATGGGCGGGCGGAGATCGGCCTGTTCAATTCTTTACCATGGTTCTGGGCTGACCATTTTCGGGTTGACCATTTTCATACCGATCGGTTTTGATTATGCACATTTTCTTTTTGGGGGGGAAGCACGGGCGGAGTTTCTTTTTTGGTTGTGTCCTGGCATTTTTTTTGGGAGGGAAAGGGTGTTCAGGGCTTCGTGCTGTGTTGTTGTTTGTCCAGGTCAGCTGCATGACATTTCTGCCAATTTTATTCCGAGCTCACCGATTCGGGGGTATAACGAGCTCACCATGACAAAGGCCCTTTGCCTGCAGATCCCTTAATTCAGGTTTTTGGAAGTATAGTATCATTTGCGGATGTATGCGTTTAAAGCAGTGTTGATTTGGTTTTATTGACAATGGAATGTGAAAACAGTTTTTTGAAGAACGGTTGGCGTTTTTTGTTTGGTCTTGAGACGATGGTTAACAAGTTGAAGCAACACAGTTCGCGTCTGAAATCAATGGTTGAAGCAATTGTGTACAGTTGCATAGAAGTGCGGCAGTTTGGGTCAAATCACTCAGCCTTTGAAGCAGTTGGTGGGCCCAACCCCGCTGATGACTACATCTGCAGACCTTGTTTGGAAGCTACGTTCCCAAGCGAAGCTTTACATGGAAGATCTACACCCCTGCAGGTTAACATGGAACCCCAAATACTGCCATGCCTATAAGACTATTTGTTTTCTTTCTTTTTGTTCTTTCTGTCTGTCTGTCTGTCTTTCTTTCAGAGTTCTTCTTCATTATTTCTCTTTTTATCTGTCTTTCTCCTTATTTCTCTTTCTTCAGTTGTCGTTCTCTTTCTTTCCCGAGCTCTGTCTGAGCTCCCGTTTGACTGATTGGACCGTCCGCTTTTCACGGAACCCCACGGGTTCTGAATTGCACCTCCATCGTTTTGTGTGAGGAGAAGAACTCATTGATTTTTCAGGCACCCACCTGCAGGTGCCTGGAAAATGGGCCTTCTCTCATGACTTTGGTGTTAAAGTACCCTACAAACCCATGCTAATTAGATGCTATTTCTTTAGGCCTTGACATTCGTAGGAAGGGCTTTGAGACTGTACCTGTCCAAGAATCGGAGTCAAGCGATCGATTCTGGCGGGATACGGACCCCGAGAAATGGCTTCGGATCAACTTTTGGTTTCTCGTCAAACCAAAAAGGGTGAATCTCCCAAAAATGGACATGCCAGCCTTGGCCATTCCTGCGCTCCAGAGACCTGCCGCTCGACCTGATTTTCTCATGTCTGGGTTCAAAACCGATTCTGGCGAGGGTTGCAGTCGATCTATTAGTCAATTGGATGTTTAACCAACATGGTAGCTTATGGACTTAGCCCAGTTACACAAGTGACCTACTTACCTAAGCCAGCCCAAAGCCCACCCTGAACCCACTGTAAACCAACCCTTAACTAACCCCAACGCTGGTGGAGCACCCAGTGTCAGGCAGAAGCTTCCGTTTTCCAAGGCCTTGAATGGGGGCGTGGAGCATTGCCTGCTCACTACAAGCCCTTGGGATCATTCCCCCTGACGCCGGTTTGGGGTGAGTGGTTGGGGCATTGGCAGTTCAAGGCTTGAGAATCCGGAAGTAATTGCTCCAAACATGTCCAGTTTCGCAAGTTACACCCGTGGTTACAACCTACCTACCAAGTTGCGGGGGGTTGCAGCATAGCCTTCTCAACCCCTCCCAATCAAGTGCCCCAAGGGGTTGTAAACACTGGAGAGGCCCCCTCTCGCATTTGAGTGCACCCAGGTGGACCAACGCGGAGCTGTCAGAGGCCCGAGGGAGAGGCCGTGTCCATGTCGCGAATGGGCACTTAGCAGTGCGTCACTCTGTTTGAGGAGATCCCGTTCAACGCTTGAACCAAGAGGAACACCGAACATGACAATTGTCGTCCCCTAGTTTGGCACATTCCCATTTGGGCTCAAACTGACTGATGTACTTGGATAAATTTTAGCCGGAGGTCGAAGAGACCCAGAAACAGAACAACCAGTGGATGGGTTTGGGGCTGGTTGCCCTGTACCAGACATGTCGATCTGACTAAACCCAGCGAAAAATTTCGATCTGATTGGAGGGCTCCAGGGAAGGGGACCACCTTCGACTGGGCCTTGCGATTGGCTTCCTGTTCAAGGCCCTTCTTGCAGCGGGGACTGGCCCCTGTTTTGAGACACCCGTCTATTCCGAAGCTGGCCATCCGTTAGGATTCCTTTGCGCCGTTCGTAGTGGTCGGATGTCCAAACCGACCTTTTCACCTTTGCTTCTCCCATGGTGTTCCATTTGTAGAGGTCCCAAAAGGTTAATATGGAGGTGCAAGCGAGGCGACGTAAAAGCCACGCTGTTCAGCTCGCGCCCAGCTGGTGAAACGTGGTCCACTTGGCACAAGGCGTAGCTGCAAGGTTGCGAGTGGATCCAAGCTCGATGCTCTTTCTCGGGAGAAGTGGGCTACCAAGTCAAAGTGGAAGACAACGAAACAGAAGATGACGTAGAACAAGTGGAACAAGATGGTGCTGAATAAAAGAGAAGTATAAATTTATGAGCAAGAAAATGGAGGAAGAACAATTTCAAGAAGGCTTATACTAATTGTGCGAAGAGGGATATGAGGATTATGAAGAATGATAAATTAGCAATCAAACAAGAAGCCCGTGACACGCGCATTGCAATCGGCTGCTTCCGTCCCGGAAGGACTCTTTGGGCCGACTGCTCCTGTCGAGTGGAGCCGACGGACTCAGTTCAGGGTGCTGTTCGGGTGGAGGGTTGGGCTTCAAATCAACTCTAGATTTGGAGACCGACAACCCTCTCCTGTTAAATGAGAAAAGCAAGAAGGTTGTCAGAGGTTCCGAAGTCATGTCTATTGAATGTTTGGAAGCCCATGCTATCCTGAATCTCAGATGTTTGATGAAGCGTTTCAATCATATCCTTTGAGTAGCCATGGTAGGGGCTGTGTTTTTTTTTGTTTTTTGTTGTTTGTGAGGGTACCCTGTGTGGGGTTGGTCTAAAGGGCAACCAAAAGAAAACCTAACTTGTTTTAGGTCCCCCATTGACCTCAGGCCATGTAGATCCCACAGGACCTTGGTTTGGAAATCCGTGGGAGCAAAGAACCGGAAATCATCCATTCGCAGTGCTTCCAGTTTCCACTGCAAGCAACCAGGGATTTCTGCGATTTCTGTTTTATAGCGAGCTCACCTAAAGGTACAACGGGCGAAAGGCTGTTGGAACTATATTAAAGATTGCAGATTTCTCTTACCTCTGAGGTTTTGCGCGACGGTTTCTCTTACCTACTCTGAAAACTGGAAGCACTGGGACCGGTTGAATCATTGAATACAGTTGTCCTGGGACAGCCTGGTACCAGCAGCCAACGTGGTCATCAAAGATGCCTACCTTGCCCTGGCTTTGCTGGCCATGGGTCTTGATTGATTCGTTCGGCTTTTGAACCAGCTTGAGCTCAAGAATGGTGCCCCTCTTCCCTTGGCACGGGCGCTTTTGCTGGTTTGGGGGTTACCCGGACAGCAGTAAAAGCTGGTTCTCACAGCAACTACCCTGGCTCCCCTCTTGCAGCTCAGCGGGCTTTCCCGCAGAGTGGGAACAAACCACATTGTCCGTGTTCCAATCACCTGGTTCATCCTGTGCATGGAAGAGGTGCTGTGAAGGTGAGGAAACCACTTACTGTTGGGCCAAATCCTGGTCCCGGGATGGATGAACCCCTGTAAATACTGGGATAAACCATGCAACAAGGTGCAAAGTGAATTTTGCAACCACCCGCAGTGTGTAGAAAGCAGGATGGGCGAAGATCACCTCTAGCCCTTTGAAGAGGGCTAAGTTAGACCCACGTAGCCTCGCTGGCTTGTTGAACCTGAGCAGCCACAAATGCACTCCACTGGCAGCGGGTGTGGCAAACTCCTTTTTGGCCTGGTTTAAAGGGCAACCAAAGGAAAACCACAATTTTTGTTGGGGTCCTGCCAAAAAGACAAGCCCCCATTGGTTTGGGTGCAGGATTTGCCCGTAGATTGGGCGGCATGCAAAAAAAGCAATAGCGGTCGTGCACATGTTGGTTTTACGCGCAGGCTTTGGCATGCGCGGGGCCGCCATTTGAGACAGCAGAGGTTTTGTGTATACGTATCTTTCAAATCTATAATATCATATGGTGCCCTATATAGACAATATACATACAATGTGTATAACATGTTCTTACACAGCAGAATGTCTACATGTATGCACATTGCCCAGGTGCCGGAGAATTACTTGGAGGAGTGGATGAAGAACCCCTGGGTGGATGGATGGCACGTAGGCGTGGATCGAAATCGGATCGAACTCCGACAAAGCCAAAAGTTGCGGTGGCCACCGTGCCGTCGCGCCCATAATTGCCCTACGTCGCATCCATCACTACCCCCAACCCTGCCTGACGAACCCTTCCCTGCCTTAGTCACCTTCGCTTGTATTCATTCATGATATATATATATATACACGCAATAAGAGCGTATATGTACATATAAACATATCAGAGCCAGCGAAGTTCTTGAGGTGGCCTCAACATTCCTCGTCCCTACTTTGGACGAACGCCACTTCACACCTTTAGGACACCCTGGCTTCTGATTCGATTCCCCTGCAAAGACCAACAAGCAATGGTTTCAACTATGGTTTCAGAGTGCGAAATAGATTTCGCCCAGCCACGATGTTTCTCCTTTTTCGCTGCTCCATGTGGGTATGGGTCAAAACTAAACCACCAGAGGACCACAGGTTTTAGTCAATGTTTCCATTTACCAGGGTCCCATTTTGGGTACCTATTTTTGACCACAGCCATGTTATTTCCACGCTCTGGAAGTAGTGAAAGTCGTGCAAGAATGAAGGCTCGCAAGGATGGCTCGACCTAGCGCAGCCACATCCATTGCGCGCGTCGAACAGCTGAGAAGCTGTTTCGCACCACAAGTTGCTCTCGCTCCTTGAAAGAT